TTTTTTATTTCTAAAATTACTCCAAGTCAAAATTTGTTATTATTTATTGTATTAACTATGTAGTTTGAAACTATTTCTATTATTAAATACCAATTAAAAGAATTATTTAATATTTATAAAAATATTTAAATATTCTAATTCAAATCTTTTACAGCACTAGAGTAAAAGATTAAACTTCTCTTTTATTACTTTTGTGTATTTGATTTCATGTTTAGATGGTTATAAGGACAAAATAATTGATATCATACCAGTTGACTTAAAAGACTTTAAATGTGTTCAACTAATGACAAAAATTACTTCAGTAGTGATAAATTGTGTTGGACCATATTATTTGTATGGGGAAATAGTTGTTAAATCTTGTGTGTCTCAAGGAACACATTATGTTGATGTTACTGGTGAATCTTTGGTAAGATATTTACAATTAATTAATCTGTAAATTTAATTCTATGTATATAGGAAAATTTGTTAACAAATGAAAATGAAAAATAAAAAAATGTTTAGAATTAAACATAAATTCAATTTTCTTAGATATAAATCATAATCATTTAATATTAATTATATTTTTTAAAGACTTAATACTATAAAACTAAAATAAAATTTTGATATAAGAATATTATAGGTATAAAATAATTTTAAAAACTATATATATTGAAAAAGTCATGGTATGTGACTTTTACTATAAATGGATATAAACATATATTTATATTTTTTTGTGTATATTATTACATAATTTTTAATTAATAGTTCATGGATAAAATGGCTTATATGTATAATAATGAAGCTGAAAAAAATGGGTCTATAATTGTAAATGCTTTAGGCATGGAAAGTGTTCCTGCTGACTTGGGTGTCGATTATTTATTTCAAAAGTTTAATGGTAACTAAAGGAATAAATTATTATTCAATAATAAATTTTTCAATTCTCTCTTAGGTAATTTAACAAGTATTGATATCTATATGAAACTAGGAAGCAAATCATCTAAATTTAATACAGTGAGTAAAAGTATTAGTTATATTTCTTTTTGAATAATATACTAACAGTACTTCAATTTTTTACTCTATGAAAACATGAGCTTCTTGAATTTTAATATATACTATTAGAAATATTCATGAAATTGATATTTTAATTGACTGAAAGTTAAATTAACTCCAAATTACTTTGTTAGGATGTGAAAATGCATGATGGAACTTGGAAAAGTATAATATACCATTTAGCAACTGGCAATGAACGTTTACGAATAAGAAATTTACTAGATAAATCCATTGGAATGACTACTAGACCAAAACCTAATATCTCTAAGTATATACAATAATTTAAGAATTTGGTATTCTTACAATAGATTTAAAATTTTATTAAAATATTCTTCCTTTCATAAAATAATCATTCACTTGATGATTAAATTAATTCAATAAATTGTTAGTTTCTAGTTGAATAAGTATGATAACATAGGTTTTAAAAAAATTATTGTATTAATTTTTTTTTATCTATTGAGCATATATTATATAAAATATAATTTAATAGCTATTTTAGTATTTTTAATACTAATATAGCATATATTATGTGACAGAACAAGTCTTGATTGTGGTGAGTCTACCAGACTTAAATGTGTTTAATTAAGGTAGACCATTCATACAATAGATAATTAACCAGAGGCATGCAAGTCCAAACAGCAGTTAGGTTTTTTTATGAATTCATTTTAATTTTACTTTATATTTTTTAAATTATTAAACTGTTTTTGTTTTAGTTAAGAAGGTGGACCACCATGTACTCAATCCTGTAGGTCCATTTTGTTCATATCTACTAAATTATAGTAAATTTTTTAATAAAAAAAACACTTTAGTGCCTTTACCTTAGTGTTTTCACCAAAAAAATGTTACCATTGTTTAGCATATCTAATACTATACAGAATGAGTCATAAAGACATGACAAATCCAATACCTTTTGATCTAATAATCATTTTGCTGTAATTTTTTTTTTAACAATTTTTTCATTTTTAGACTTTATTAAAAGTATATTTTTAATTAATTAAACAAAAATTAATGATAAGATCTTTAATAATTTAAAATAGCTATTTTATTAGCTCTTTTTTTACAAAAAATGTTAATTGATGGTTTGATAATAACTTTTGAATAAGTAATTATTAAGTTAAAAGCATTTTAATATATTCAGTGGTATGTAGTGTTCATAGAGCGCACATACAATAGTATAAGCTGTACCAGGTACAGGGTGACTCTTAGCTACATGAGAGGTTTTTTTTTTTTAATATTTGTTAGTGCCACCCCCTAGAATTATTCGAATACATGTAAAAATAAATTGTACGAAATTTGGAGACGATTGATCAACTCTAAAACGTGCCCCAAGGGGGTTAAAAATAACCCCCCAAGGGTGATTTTTTAGTTTTTTATGTCTATCTCAAAAACTTTAGCTTTTGCGAAAAAGTTTATTCGACCTTTTTTGTAGGTATACAATTTTTCTATAAAAAGTATATATAAAAAAATTTTCGAAAAGTTCTTATTTACCCTAAAAAAATAAAAACGTATATGTTCTATTCTTGCCGTTAAAACTGTTAATTTATAATTCGTTCATTATAAAAACATAAAAAAAATTCATTTAACCGTTGTTTTAAATTTAATTTTCTATACATTTTTAAATCGACATTTTTTCTATTATTTACTATTCAAAACCTACAATTTTTTTTAATTTTAATTTTAATTAAAAAAAATACATCAGAGTAAAATTAATACCGTCTCAGTTTACTGAGACTATTTAACTATTTACAAAGAAAAACGTACTAAAAAAATTTACTACAAATTTTAAATAATTTATCTTTTTTAAAATTCTTGGGATAATGTGTATTTATTGCAATTAGGAAAACAAAGCCGGTATTCTGTAACAATCTGTAATAGGTATTATTTTTGTGCTTCGACTTTTGTTAAAATATTATTATACTTTTCTATGAGTATCACGCCCCTCTCTGCCAAATCATTTATAACTTTTAAAATATTTACTATTATTTTTTCTCTGATATATTGACTGTTGTCTTTCCACAACAAAGGATTGATATTTAAAAAATCTGTTTCAATGTCATATCTTTCAAACAACTTCTTTGAATTAGTTGAAATAAAATCATCTATACTTTTATTTTTAAAATCATAAATTTCATTTACTCCTACTACTATACGTTTGTTTGTACATAGATCTTCTTCCCGATTATTTAATGAGTTTACTATTATAATTTTAGTATCTTCACATAAATCATCATCAAAAAATGCCAATGCTGCTGATTGGGATACTAAGTACCATAAGTGACCCGAAATTTTTTTTTAAAACTACTTTAGAAATATCTTTATCTATTGGTTCATAATCAATTATATTTTTAATAAATTTTAAATCTAAATTTGTCGCTAATGCAACATTGGTGCACTTAAATCATTGTTTAATATATAAACTTGCAATAAAAATACATAATGAACGAATATTTAACTCTTTGATTGACAATTTAAATTGGCCCCGAAACAAAAAAATTTTTAAACAATAAATGGCCTTGGCCATCCAATGAGCATGATGGATTGGGCCAGAAATTTTAAAATAAATTCCAAGCAAATGTTAGGGCGTGATATTTTATACTTACCATGCAGACATCACATTTATGAAATTATATTGAAAAGTGTTTTTGAAGTAAAATTTAATACGTCAGATGACGTAAACCAGATGTTCCTATTTTCAATAAATTCCAAAAGTCTTGGCAAAATATAAATAAAACAAATTACTTCAGTGGAATAGAAGATACTGTTATTTTAGAAAAATTAAAAACAAAAAAGATGATATTTTTATTACAAGTTTATATAGTTTCTAGTTGTATATAAATTTGTAAGTGAACATTATTTTAGCTTCAATGGTGAAACTGAGACGGTATTAATTTTACTCTGATGTATTTTTTTTAATTAAAATTAAAAAAAATTGTAGGTTTTGAATAGTAAATAATAGAAAAATTGTCAATTTAAAAATGTATAGAAAATTAAATTTAAAACAACGGTTAAATGAACTTTTTTTATGTTTTTATAATGAACGAATTATAAATTAACAGTTTTAACGGCAAGAATAGAACATATACGTTTTTATTTTTTTAGGGCTAAATAAGAACTTTTCGAAAATTTTTTTATATATACTTTTTATAGAAAAATTGTATACCTACAAAAAAGGTCGAATAAACTTTTTCGTAAAAGCTAAAGTTTTTGAGATAGACATAAAAAACTAAAAAATCACCCTTAGGGGTTATTTTTAACCCCCTTGGGGCACGTCTTAGAGTTGATCAATCGTCTCCAAATTTCGTACAATTTATTTTTTCATGTATTCGAATAATTCTAGGGGGTGGCACTTTGTAATTTTTTAATTTTATAAATAAGTGTACCTATTCATCACAATCATTGTTTTATAGTTAATTTATATTTTTATCCATATAGCTCTCACGAAAAGTTGAGAAATAAATCTCAGCAAAGCTCAATACTGTAATAATGCTGTATACTCTATTATGTGTATGCTACCATAAGGCCCCAATGGTCACTTTGCTTTTCATCTGACTATTCTATGACAACAACTATATACTGTATAGTAAAATAAACTTATTTTAAAAAATTAATCAAAACTAGGCATTTAATTATAAATGGATAAATATATACACAATAAATAATAAGTGGCATCTTTTTTAGAATATTACATAAGCAAGAAATTAGTAAGAGAAGCCAGTGGTGTCTACCTATGCCAGAACCAGATCAAGCTGTAATAGCAAGATCATTAAATTATTCAAAAATAGTTGAAAAAAGAACTATTAACTGTGAAGTAAGAAATTACATAGTTATTGGTAGTTTAATAATGGCTGTTGTCAATCTATTTTTATGTGTTTTACTATCGTGTTTAGTTTTAATTCCACCATTGAAGACCCTTTTTGTTAATGTAAGTCACTTTTTTATGTTATTAAAATAAAAAATTCTTGGTATTGTAAAACAACTTATTTATAGTTTCCAAAAATATTTTCTTTGGGAATAGCAAGTGAACAAGGGCCAAGTGAAAAAAATAACGAAAACTCATTTGTTTCATTTACATTTATTGGTAAAGGAGACATCTCCATTAAAAATACTAATAAACAAAATGATTCTACCAATACTATAATTTTAAAGGTAAATAAACTTGTAATTAGGTAATTTTTTAATTTTTGTGCTAAGAGCTATAAAATGTGTTATCTCTAATTTTTTTAGAATTTTTAAAATTGTTTTTTTAATTATAAAATTACTTTCCTGAACCCTTCATATAAAAAAATACAATTTTCACTATTAATGATAATTTTAATGACATTTAAAATATTAATAAAAAAAAAATTATTGTACTTATATATTTGTTTGAGTTATTTATAGATTTTTTTTTTGGCTCTTAAGGTTTTTTGAAAAATTAAAAGACTTTTGATTGACTCCTAAATATAACTTTGCCTATCTTTCAATGTTTAAACAGTATAGTGGATATAAATATAATGAAATGTATACACTATACATAAGTATTATACAAATTATCTCCGTTTTTGCTATTTTTACATTCAAATTATAATTTCATATTGTTATTTACTATTAAATATATTAAGGTAATATTAAATTATAAATTATTTTGTTAAAGATCAAAGCTTCAAATCCTGGTTATGGATTTGCTAGTAAAGCAGTTGTCTTAGGAGCAGTAACTTTATTGCAAGACAATATTCCAAAAGGGTAAATTAATCAAAACTTTATTAAATTTATTTTTAATTTATATCTTCTCTTCTCTTTTGTCTTTATTCCAATTACTTGGAGTAACCTAAACCTCCATTTACCACAATCTCCCACACCAGCAGTCATCTTATCATTCCTAATCATATCTAGCCACCTCTTTTTCAAAATTCATTCCATAACTATTCTTACAGTTTCCGATTCCTCTCTCCTTATAACATGACCCAAACCGTTTATGTCCATTTTCTCTCATCTTATCTATAATTGAAGCTACACCTACACTCACTCTTAAATGTTCGTTCCTTATCCTATCTCCTCTAATCACCCCATTCATTAATCTAAGCATTCTATTTTCAGCTACACTCATTCTCTGCTCTACTTTCTTATTAATCACCCAACAATTTACACAGCTCTTTACAGTCTAATTTAACTTACCTTTTAGACTCGTTGTGATTCTCTATCCCACAAAACACTAGGCGGTTCTCTTTAATTAGTTCACCCACATTTAATTCTATGTCACATTCTCTTCAATATATCACTATTGTACAAATGATCCTTAATATTTAAAATTTCACTGTATCTATCACAATCTTGTTTATTGGCATTACTCTCCTTGTTTTATCACCCTCATGTTCTCTTTCGTCAAATATATTAGGAGTGGTTTGGTGCAATAGATAGTTCAGTTGCCACCTTAATGCTTATATTCATTTGTGCTGTTTGCTGTTGATTCCCATATGGTCACCCATCTGGAAGCTTTACATTGACACACTTTACCCCTTATTGATTCCCTCAGCCATAATGAAGTTGCGTCAGTTTGATATCTGCTGTTAAAATCCTGTCAAATCATAAGGTAGAGCCTATCCCAAATAGTTGGAATAGAAGCAAGGGATATGATAATATTTATAAATATATTGTATTTATTATAGTGGTGTGTTAACACCAGCTTCAGCATTTAAAAATACAAATTATTTGAAGCGATTAATTGAACATGAAGCTATGGATATTGAATTACTGTCAAACTCTATAAATTTAAAGAATCATACAGATTAAGGATTATTTTCAATTTTTATTTTAACAGCAGTGGATTTTTTAGCTATATTCTTGGCATTGTATAATTTAACATTATTTTTTTGAAGCGGGATTATTATTGGTAATAAATTGAACGCTCACTTATGAATAATTTGTTTGATATTTTTTAATTTTTAATTAATGTAATAAACATTAAATTTAAACAAGAATGAATAATTTTTACAAAATATTTGTTCCTTATTTTTATGTATAATTAAAACTTAAATGAAAAGATTTAAATACAATTGTGACTATTAACGCGTCGATGATCGTCCAGCGGTGGAACATACACTGATTAAAACTATGCTACAATAGACACATTGCTGGCCAGATAAACAAAGATAAAGATACAATATTATATAATGAATCGTGTTAACAATTATTTTTACACTTATTGTTAGAATAATTTGTCAAAAATAAAAAATCTTTATAAATGGAAAAATATAGATTAGTCAAATACGCAATAAAAACTTAATAGTAAAAAAATATTTTTTTTTATTGGTTAAAATAGACTAATAATCGAAAAATTGGTTGATATATTCTTTTAATTCTAGACCCTTGACATATTGTTCAATACTCAGAAACCAAAAAAAAATATATGCATGCGGATTGGAAATTTAATATACATATCTCATTATCCGGGCAAGAGCTTCCCACTAAACTATCCAGCAGTTATTCTTAATCCCCAAGTACAAGTCTCTTAAATAGTTAATGATAATATATATATATGTATTTTACATAATACAATTTACAGTTGATACATTAAAACGTTATCAATGTTTCAAAAAATGTTTTTAAGACCACTATCACAATTGTGATTTTGGTGGTCAGACCATTGCACATGGGAGCACAAGAAAAAAATTTTTCATTGCTATGTTAAATTTTACTGCTCTTTTTATTTTATCTTTTACTTTTTTTAAAAATAAAAATCAATTTATATCTTAGGCGATCAAAACATTAAAAATATATCAAACTAACCAAGCTGAATACATAATACCCTAAATATACATTTTATGTTATTATTACTAATACATTATAATTATTTAAAATCTTATATTATCATTAAAATTATTTGATGTGATATTGCTAAAAAAATTAATGGAAATATTGTTAAAAAATCTTTTAACAAAATATTTGATTTATTTTTAAATTAAAATATAAAATTCATGCAATAAGTTCTTTTCCCAACCAAAAAAAGTAGCCCTTTAGTAAAGACATTGCTCCTTCTATGTCTGCGGTTGTTTAGATGACTTTTTTAGTCCAGCCCTAATTGTGTTCAAAAACGTAAATAAAGAAGGATGCCTTTGTTTTATAATTACTCCAATAGATAAAGACTTAATTGTAATATTTAAAAAAGTAGTTCATAATAACATAGTTTAGTCAACCAAGATAGTTGTCAAAAATTTTTACCTGATGAAATTTATTGTAATGGGCATTAGCATTAATTTTGATATGTGTTAATATTTATCATTTTGTTAGCCATTAGATAACATTGATAACAGTTATCATTTTAAAAAAATAATAAGTTTACTTTAGGAGTTATTTAGTTAACTTCTATAATTTATAGCGAAGATAATATTAACTATTGAAATATTTTTGATCAGAAATGAATTTTTATTTTATAAATTATTAAATCATCACATAAGTAATGCTAATCTTTGATAAAGAATTACTGTAATGGAAATAGAATATTGTTACTGTCCTTTAAACCAATGTTTGTTGGACCACAATTAGAATCTACATTGTAAGTTATCTTTTAAATTTGAATTAGGTAAATTCATTATAGCTACTACTCTAAAAAAATAAAAATCCTTAACTAAAAGATTAAATTTTTTTTAGATTATGAAGTTATACTAATTCATCTAATGGGTAAAGTGGTGTCTAACATAAATAGCAGCATTGAAACTCTAAAGGTTTACCAATTTTAGCAATATTTTTATGAACATTATTTAAAATTTTATTTATGTTTTAGTTATTTTGGTCATCAATATTAGAAAATGGCAGTATCACATTTGAACGCTGGGCAGAACACACAAATCAAGTAGCTTTAGAAATTTGGAATTCTAGGACCTTTCAAAATGCACAGTTAGGTGCTAATTTAGCTTGGGATCAAATTTCTGAAACATGGATGCAAGCTAAAAGTACAATTCAACAATATGACTTGAACTTTATAATTGATTCTGTACAATCAAAAATTATATACTTAACTGGTTATAACTGTAAGTTTATTTAAATATAATATGAATATAAATATAATATGAAAATTTTATCATTTTGGGCCAAACCAAATTTATTAAGGAATAAAAAGATATATTTAATAGTTTGAAAAAAATTCACTAGTTTTAATAAGATCAATTTCATTGATGTTCGAATCCATAAATCCAGTCCTAATAACGCCCATCATATTGTTTAAAATAAATATTTGGTTGCCACTCCTTTTCTACAATTAAGCTGACATAATTTTCTCAATATTTACTCAACTAGTTCAAGTTTATGGAAATGTATACAAATTGGCAGTCATTTTAGCTTCTATATGAAGCTGAGAAGGTATTAATTTTATTATTGTGTATTTTTTTTTGTCTGTTGCTACTTTTTCTCAGTTCTAACTGGATCAATTTCTTTCAATGATACGTCAAAAGATTACAAATTGTATCTAGTTGAAAATATTTCCCTTGTTCCCTGTAAATGGCACAAATCCCCCAAAAAAGTACAATTTTTAATATTGGTAAATTTCAACATTTTTTTCTAAAAGTAACTTATTAAAAAATGAACAAATTAAAATAATTTTTTTTTATAAAAATCTTAAGTAAATTCACTTTTATTTAATATAATATTTTTAAAAATCTGACCCATTAATTGTCTACAAGAGAGGATTTAAAATAGCAACTGTTTTACAAAACTCAACTTTTTCAACTTAACTTTTGAAAATGTTCCGGAAATACTGCCTCATTTAAACATATGTCAAATTAAAGCTTATGTTAGGTACTATAAATTAAAAAAAAAATTTGTCCCAACGACTTATCTTCTAAGTGCAAACGGCTGCTGTAGTTAAATAACATGTTATTTTTGTGTTTAAAATTTTTTTTTTGTTTATTTTAAAATACTTTATAAAAGTTTATCATAGTAATGAGTCCTCCAATAAATATAAAATTTACTCGAATCTAACTTACATTAAGTATAAATTTATTCTTATTCTGATTACTTTGCCTTTTCAAAGTTGAGAAAAGTTTTTTTAAATTTTTGAAAACTTGAAAATTTTTATAAAAAGTTGAACTTTTTCAACTTAACTTTTGTAAGTGTTCTGGGAATACTATGTCTTTTAAATATATATTTAAATAAACCTTCTTTTACATACTAGGAGTTAAAAAAAAAAAATTTGTATCTATTTGACCTATTTTTTATATGCAATTGGCAGTCGATGTGAAACAAAAAATAGGAGTTAATTTTGTTTTTGGAATAATCCACCAATTTCTTAAAATTAAACACTATCTACAGATTTGTATTGAAATGTTTCTTATGATAGTGATTTTAATCATTGTCAGATATCACCTATACTTGTTCCAGCTGTGCCACGATCCCACTATGAAAATATATTATATTTAAAATATATTAAATCATTTAAAATACAAGTATTGAAAATTATAATGAAAGTTATATTGATATAAATATTTTTGCTAGAGGTAAATTAATGATTAATTGCTTTTAAAGTAGTAAATTAACCTCATAATAATATAATTAAGTATTAATAATTATTAAATTTTAATTATATGATGTATTAGTTGAATAAATGTCTTATTAAAGCAGTCATTTATAAAAATTTAATACTTGATATATATCAATAAATTTCATTAATAGTTTTTTTTTTTATCCTAATAATGAAAATCATTAATAACTTTTTAACTGATACTCAAACTTACTTAAACTAAAAAAATTGACTTTGTATTATTTAAAATATAAAATATTTCAAATGAACATAATTTTCAGTTAATCGTACTCATGTTTATGTTGGGTTTGCTGGATTGTTTGTTGGAAGTGGTGTTGGATTTTTGATTGGTATTAATGTAAAACCATCTGCCATAACTGTAACTCATATGAAAGCTGCTTCAGCTACTAGCTATAATGGCCTTGAAGTAAGCTATCTTGTGTTTCTAGTTTTAAATTACTTAAATATGATGGACATAAATATTGATAGTCAAATATAATATTAATATTCCTTAGATATAAATACAATAATAAAGTGACCATTATGATATTGATCTATTTTATTTTTGTTAATTTTAAATTTTCATGGAAATTGTTGGTGAGAATAGCAGAAGAATGCTAGGAAACAAGGAAACTGGGTAATGGGATGAGGATGTAACAAAATAATAGAAAGTAAGAAAAAGCAGTTCAAAGTATAGCAGAAGAGCAAAAGGAGTGAAGATTGGATGTAGTATAAACGCTTGGGCAAAGAAGTCAAGTGTGCAGTAAGTAAGACGAAGTTTAAAAAGTATAATGAGTTGTATGATAGGTTAGGAACAAAGGAAGAAAGAAGTCTATAAACTTACAAAAGTGAGAGAAAAAGGTCTAAAGATTATCACTATGTCTTCTTCTTCTTCCTTCAACATTCATTTACAGCTTCCGATTCTTCTCTCCTCATAACATGACCAAACCATCCAAGTTTATTTTCTCTCATCTTATCGACGATTGACGTTACACTTACACTCATTCTTAAATGTTCATTCCATATCCTATCTTCTCTAGTCACTCCACTCATCCATCTAAGCATTCTTATCTCTGCTACACTCATTCTCTGCTCTACATTCTTGTAAACTACCCAACACTCTGAACCATACATCATAGCTGGCCTCACTTCAGTCTTGTAGAATTTACCTTTCAGCCTCATTGGAATTATTTTATCGCATAAGACGCCAGACGCTTCTCTCAATTTCAACCACCCACACTTAATCCTTTGTATTACATCCTCGTCAATAACACCGCTCTTTTGCACAACTGACTCTAAATACTTAAAACTTTCCACCTCAATCACGTCCTCGCCTATTGTCACCTACCTCAAAATTCTCCTTTGTCAAACTCGTAATCTATATATTAAAGATGTAATGTATGTAATGTATATAAAAAGTGTTGATAAGAGGATGCTATAAAAGTAATGATGATGTGAAAAAAAGATGAAAAGAGTATTCTAAAAAATTACTGAATATGGAGTATCCAAAAGAGACATTAGAACATATCTCGTGAAGAGGTGGACTGGTATATTTAATTAGTGAGAAAGAGGTACATGAGGTAAAAAAAAGCTGTGTATGATATACAATTGCCCAATAAAGTTGTGCAAAAGTAAGTATTTAGAGTCAGTTGTGCAAAAGAGCGGTGTTATTGACAAAGATGTAATACACAGATTTAAGTGCGGGTGGTTGAAGTGGAGAGAAGCGTCTGTTGTGTGTGTTATGCAATAAAAGAATTCCAATGAAGCTGAAAGGTAAATTCTATAAGACTGTAGTGAGACCAGCCATGATGTATGGTTCTGAGTGTTGGGCGGTTGACAAGAAAGTAGAACAAAGAATGAGTGTAGCAGACATAAGAATGCTTAGATGGATGAGTGGAGTGACTAGAGAAGATAGGATATGGAATGAACATAGAAGAGGGTGTATAATTGTAATAGACTTGGATAGTTTAATCATGTTATGAGGAGAGAGAAATCGGAAGCTGTAAAAAAAAAAAGCGAGAAAAAACAAGAAGAAGAAGATTTCATGTTAATGAAATATACATAATATAGGATAAGTATATATTTTCTTATTGCACAAAAATTTCACTGTATGTATTTATTTATACCAAATAAAAAAATCATTATTTTAAAATTAATAATATTTTAGTGATAAATAAAATATTTTAGTGTTAAATAGATAAAATAATTTAATAAATAAAAAATTTTACCGAACTATATGATATTTATTTAATTTTCATAAAATTAAATGTGTACTAATTCATTAATTAAGTACAAATTTATAATTGTATTTAATCAATGGTACTTAAAATTTTAATTTGTCTACTTTAATATTTGAAATTATGTTTTTCAAAATAACAATATATTTGTTTAAATATTTATATCTATACAATGCAGGTTATACTGATATTTGAAGTTATATTTTTGCCAATCAATTTAAATTATCTAATTCTTAATAACTATAGGGTATAGCTCTCTTAGAAGATGTTGTCACACCAGAAATAACTAAATCTGACCAAGTAATGATTATGGTTAGAGCTGCATCTATTGACCCAGTAGATTTATTAGTAGCAACTGGTTATGGATCATTTCTAAGAAAAATTTTAATCAAACAGGCCTATCAGGTAAATCATTCAAATGTATTCTTATTAAAATATTTATATTAATTTAAACAATTTTTTTATCTCAATAGAAATCATTTCAAAGAGAATTTCCCCTAGTATTAGGTCGTGATTGTTCTGGTGTTGTCATTGATATAGGTTCAGAAGTTAGACGTGACCTTAATATTAATGATGAAGTATGGGTATGTCTTCCTCCGTGGGCTCCTTGCGGTTCTATTTGTGAAACAATTGTTGTATCTGATAAATATGTTACCCATAAACCACGAAATTTGTCTCATGAACAAGCAGCTACTCTTCCTTATTCAGGATCTTTGGCATGGCTAGCTATATTTCAAAAAGCTAATTTAAATCCTTTTAATGCTGTAGATAAAAAGTAATTTATTTAATCTTGATTATTTTTTTTTCTTGTTAATTTTGAATTCATTCTAATTTTTTGTAATTGGTAGTATTCTAGTTTATTGTGGTGATAGTGGGACAGGATCTATTGTAGTTCAATTATGTTGTTATTTAAAAGCAAATGTTACTGTAGCTTGTACAAATCGTGTATCATACTTAATGAAGTATCTTGGTGCTTTAAATACTTATGAAGCCGAAACTGTCAGCATAGATCAATTATTAAGCACTGCACCTTTTGGGTATGACTATAAATATTTGAAATTTGTGTATTATTATCTAAGTAAACAAAATATTTTTAATTTCTCTAATTTTTTTTTTATTCTCATTTCAGTTATGATTATGTGTTTAATACAGCAGGTGATGTAAAAAGTAATCTATGTAAACAACTATGTAATACGAATGGTACTGTTATTCTAGTGGGACCTCATAGATTACCATCAGATTCTTATGGAGCCATTCGTAGCTTCTTTTATTTACTATGGTTAAAAATATCAAATGTGAGTATATAATTTGTGCTCTTGTATTCTTTAAGTATCAATCCATCTGTAGGTTTCTTACAGTATTATATATTTGTTTAGTAGTTTTACAGTTGTGTTAAATAATTGTTTGTTTAATAATCCTCAAATAGATATATAAACAATGTACCTAGAAAGAGAAAGGTGATTATTTTACTTTTTATTTAAAGAATTTCTTCAATTAAATGTTTTCTTTATATAAAATTAAATTTATTCTCTTTATAAAAAATATCTGTTGTTATATATTTTCTTTTTACATTTATTATAATTTTGATAAATTTTAGGTATTTAAAAGTGATAAAAGTCAAGACTTTAATAGCTTTCATTTTAAGATATTGAATGAATTAACTAGCATGGCCAATGATTTTGTTCTTCGTCCAGTTTTGGATAAAGCATTCATGGAACATGAGGTAGATCGTGCATTTAGGTATATGGATAGTGGACAAACAGTTGGAAAAGTAGTGATCAAATTCAGGTATCTTGTATATGTTTAATAACGTTATGCTATGAATATTATCCCAAACCAAATTAGTTAAAAACAGAATCATATGCAAAAACTAAAATAATTACTTTAAAATTGTATCATCTTTAAAGAAATGATGTATTAAATAATATATTTAATAATGTCAGTTACCTATAATGAGTTATAAAAATAAAATTCATGTTTAATTATTAAAAGGCTCTGTGCAAAAAAAAATAACTCCATTTTTCAAAAAATTTTAGGAAGCTGAAAAAATCAATAATTTATAACATATCCTATCTACTAGTAAAAAACACTATGTTTAAAAAATTATTTATTGTAACTATTTTTTTCTTAGATAGATGCATTTGTCATTTTAATCTTAATTTAAAACCGATAAAATATATATTTAAACAATATGGAGTTATCTTGTTTTAGCACAAAGTCCTTCAATTAGATTATACTATTTAAATAGTAAAATATGAAACTGTTGCTATTGTGCTATAATAAATAATACAGAGTTACTTTTAATTCTTATGTGTGTATTCGGTTTTCAATAAAAAAAGTATATATATATTTTTTTTTTTTTTTTTTGCAGCAATTTAAATTGTCCGACAAATACTTTGCCTAGACCATCAGGAATTTTGTTCTAGTAAATTTTAATTTTGTATTCAATGTTTTAAATTCATTAAATATACTAATGAAAATTTTTGTGAAGTTATGGAAAAATTTTTAAATATACCTTTGAAATTATTGTGTTTATTTTAAAATCATAAAATATAATGAATTATAAATGTTTTTAAAGTAAATGAAAATTTTGTAGCTTCAATGCTAAGCTCAGAAGATATTAGTTTAAACATGATGTATTTTTTATACATGAAAATTCTTATCTTTTACTTGACCAATTTTGTTGATTTATGTAAAAAATGAATCCGAGATTAAACAAAGGTATATATATATATATATTTATAATTTCCTTCTGTACCTACCTCTTCTTCTTCTTTTTCTTCGCTTAATCCCAACTACTTGGTTACGATATAATTTATCTTATCTACTCATAAATATCATGTTACTTGTATTAAATTTACTATACTCGAATTTACTTGAAAGACAAAAAAAAATCAAAAGCAACAATTAAATCCTCTTGTCAATTATAGGCAAATAATAATAATTGTTTGCTCCAAAATGCGAATTCAAATTTTATTTGTTTGGCAACAGCTTCGCCAGTTAATCCATTTATCAGGGGCTGGTGTCGACCTATCGTTGTATTCAAAAAACTATATCTTACTATAATGATTGTTGTTTGAATGAAACAACCATGTGGTATTTAAATATCGAGGTTAATTATTCGACCTTTTTTTTTTCCTCGACTTAAACCCAACTACTTGGGGTCGGCCACTCTTATCCTAAACTTCCACTTGACACGATCACCCACATCATCTACACTCATATAAGCCATCCTCATATCACATTCAATTACATCCCTCCATCTCATCCTCTATCTCTTCTTCCTTCAACATTCATTTCTATAACTGTTCTTACCGCTTTTGATTCCTCTCTCGTTATAACATGACCAAACCATTCAAGTCTATTTTCTCTTATTTTATCTACGATTGACACTACACTTGCACTCACTCTTAAATGTTCGTTCCTTAGCCTGTCTTCTCTAGTCACTTCATTTATCCACCTAAGCATTCCTTCTTTACCTAGCTCTATGACTTATATTTTTATAACAAATTTATAACTGAAATCAAAACAACTAGATCCTATNCATGACCAAACCATTCAAGTCTATTTTCTCTTATTTTATCTACGATTGACACTACACTTGCACTCACTCTTAATTGTTCGTTCCTTAGCCTGTCTTCTCTAGTCACTCCATTTATCCACCTAAGCATTCCTTCTTTACCTAGCTATATGACTTATATTTTTATAACAAATTTATAACTGAAATCAAAACAACTAGATCCTATTCATAATTAACTTCTAGCATATGCATAATTATCATTCAACTTGTTTCCTTATTACCCAATTTTTTACAAAAAGAACTGGTTGGTAATTTTTTGATTATTTTCTAAACTATCCTATTCTTAATTTGTCTAGGACTTCATAAAGAAGCATCTGAAAGTCATATTTTTAGATTTACAAATATTTATATTATTTATTTAACTTTTTTTTTTATAAAATAATTACCGTCAGCCCATGTTTTTTTTTTAAATCTATACATAGTTTTCATTAGGACACCATTTTGTGTGCTAATTACAATTTTATGTATACTTTACATTTTGTGTTACGTTAACAGAAATAAAATGATATAACCAATTTTTTTTAAAAGATTGTTATAAGTTTTCTTTTGAACACCTGTTAATTATCAGTTAGTTATTTTTAATACAATTGTGAATACATTTTTGTATTTCCATGTTTTTGTCATTTTATTATTATATTATATATTTATACAATATAAGGTAGAAGTTGGGATTTAAACTCCTCTATTACACATTTGTTTTACTTCTATAAAGTTATATTAATAACAAGGCACTTATGTAAATAAATTACTTTATAAATCTATGTTTGTGCCTCTGGACTAGTAAGGGGTAGATAAAAAGGTATTTTTGGAGTTTAACCCCTCACCAGTTTTTAAAATTCTAACTTATAAACAAAAAATGATAATAATAGAAGTTTATAATTCTTATAATTATTTTTGTATACCATGTAGGCTTTTTAATATATATAGGTGATTTATTAATTTGGTAAAACATTTCCTTTCTCATGTAATATAAAGAAAAGTTACAATTTTATTCTTACAATTTTTTTTTTATCTGATGGACCTTTTATTTGTTACAGCATTTTTAATATATAAAGTGGTTATGTTTTTAGTTTAAATTATTTTTATTATATAAACTACCACTATAAATAAATAAGCTAGTTTTTATAAATATTTGGAAAATTACAATTGACACCTCTATAAATCATAAGGAATGATCCTAAAAAGTAATTAATAACTGATAGATTAAACAATTAATGTAACTAAAAAAACCCAAAACTTTTTTTTTGCAAATAATTAATAATAAGAAAAAGAATAATATTTCTCTACTTAATTGTTTACAAAATCTTCAGTACACTATTAATAAATTTATATATTTTGTTTTACAACAATGTTTTATAACACAGCTAGATAACTTATTTGATAAATAAAAAATTTAATTAACAATAACATGTTTTAATTTTTAATTATAGTAATTAATGAAAAAATTATCAAAAATAATTTATTATAATACAATTTGTTGAAATATACTCTTGGTTAAAGTAATTCCTGTTAGTTCTTTATTACCTTGAATTGCATACTGTACTTTTTCACGAATTTCTGATTTACTTAGATCCCCTCTTAGAGTTAACAATCGTGTCATTTGATCTTCTGTAATATCAGGATATGTCTTTACCAAAGTATGTAAATCTAGTGATAATATTTCTGAATCTTCACTTTTAAGAACTTCTGATAGTTTAATAACAGCATCAAAAGGTGAATCAGTATCACGTTTCACAACCGGTGCTACACGAGCAAAAAATGATTTTAATTGATCAACTTCTTTATTCATTTTGTCAGCTGCTGAACGTCTTTCATCATACATTTTAAATGTTAATTTTTTTTGAAACATAGCCATTATGTAACGCCGCACAATTATGTCTTCAGCTTCTAAAATAATGTATTCAAAATTTTTAGGTTTTAAATGAACATAATCTTGAAAATAATCTTCAAGGGTGACACAAATAGTTTCAATAGAAATGAAACTACTAAGCCATTTCACAGTAATCAAATCTTGAAAGTGTGAGTCTAAGTCAAGAAATGCTTCTTCTAAAAGAAATTGAGCAGCTTCATCTCTAAGATTTTGAAAAGTCTTCAACAACTTTTCATAAGCTGTACTGGATTGATCTTTAAATTCACTGCTCCAATACTGTTGCTTCATTTCTAATGCTAATTCAATAAACTGTAAACAATTATTCAATACAGTTATGATACACTGAGTAAAAAAAGGAACTTTGCTTCTGTCTTCAAAATGTTTTTTCTTAAATTCTATGACAGCTTCTTTGTATGATGATCCATAGACAGTAATGCTATCAACACTTAATAATAAAGCTCTATGTGTTAGTTCTTGACTAATAGTTTTAGTTACTTGTAAATTTTGATCAATCATCTGAAATATTATAACAGGAGCAGCAGTATGAAAACAACTATCTGGGCCTACCTCAGGAGAAGTTCCAGCATACCAATCATTTCTCTCTGTATCCAATGTTTTCAACATCCAATCTTTGTAATTATTTTTTATATATTCTAAATACTTTGACTGTAAGTCATTTATTATTGACGTTTTTAATAAAGGACCAATTTTCCTAACATCTATATTAAGTTCTGGATGACACATTAATTCTAGACCAGGATATGTGTTGGTTACCCATGATATAACTGTTACATACTCATTACCTTCAAGACCATTTGATATTATTTCCTCTAAATTCGAGGATAGACTAGAATGATACATGTTAACAAATCGATCAAATATATTGTATAGTGGAGGAAAACAAGGCACACACAAAGTTTTAACAACTCTAAGATCTTCTAATATTAATTGACGACATAGTTCAAAATATGTAACAAGCCACATTTTATTGTCAGATCTCTCATTAACCTGGGTTCCTTCAATTCTTTGGTCAACAGACTTTCTAAGAACTTCAAAAGACATTTCTTTCCATTTTTTAGGACGACCTGGAGGTATAAATCCAGACTGTTTCTGCCGCTGAAGTGCAAACATATCGGCACGTTCTTCCCGTTCAACTATTCTCAAGACTGTTACAATAACCATAGGTTCTTTTCGTACAGTATTCAATGTTCTACTCAAAACTAGCTTGATTTGTTTACCTAACATATTAGATACTACTTCTACATCTTCAAAATATGCTTTAAGAAGAATTTTATCAGTTGGCGCCTGATTTGGTAATTTATAAACTTCAAATAATAGATCATCTCTTGAGTTCTCTAAGTCAACTAAACACTGATGAGCATGTAGCAATTTACCTTCATTAATCCATTGTTTTGTTTTTTCAATACTTTCAGGCACAGTAAATAAATGCTTCATATTTTCATTAGCTGTCATATATTGAGAATGTTGCATTTGTTTATTGCGCACATCTTGTAATTTATATCCAAGTGAAGGTAAATTCACAAATGATTCTTTTGTTTCTTTTAAAGTAATTTTTACCTGGTTAATATCATGTAGTGCGTCTTTTAGTTGTTCCATTCCAACAGTGACTCCATCTAATTGACTTTGCATAGCAGTTTTTAACATAGCTTCCGTAGAGGTTTTTTTACGAGTTATTCGACTCTTTAATTGATCAACCTTTTCGAGCTGACCAGGTTTTTGAAGCATGCTAGTAAAATATTTAGTAGCAGCAACTTTGGCGTCATTTCCCAACTGTTCAATATCCATTTTTCAACGTAATAACTCATAAAATATTACCAACATATGTATACATTTGAAACAAAATTTTTCAACACGATTTTATCCAGTTAATTATCCTTAATTTAGGCATAAAATATTTTACAAATCTATGGATTAAGAACTTATGTTGTTGTTAATACTAAAAATTATTAAGATCAATGATTATTTGTTATGACTGATAATAGTATCAATACACAGATATATTGATAGGAACTAAAAACGTGCTTTTGAGGAATTAGGTTCACGATACAGTATTTCATCAATATTAATTAATGTCGGAAAGTATTAACGAGGAAAATGCTTTTCGGAAAATTATTAATATATATGATATTATTATGGAATATATCATTGGGGACAACTTTTTGTGGTAAAATATTTGTTTACAATATATTATCATAATATAATGGTGGAAAATACTTTCTCGAAGAAATTATCATTGAAAAATACTATGATAAACCATTGTAATATAATATACAACTATTAAAACTGTAATTATAAAGTACAGTTTAATTTATTTATGTTATGTGTCATGTAATACATAATTAAATATTTATTAAATTTCATGATTCATTAAAAAAAATATATTGTTATCATTTTATTTAAAAAGTATTAATTTTAATAACTTATAATTCCTTGTAATTATAATTCTTATTATTTATATTTTAACAATAAGAACTATTTTTTATTTAATTAAAAGTATAAATCAAAATTATATGTAAGAAAAATAAATAAAAAAATCTGTGTACTTAAAATAAAATAACTGAATTGTTAAATTTAGAAATGTCATATGTCCAAGTTATACAATTTTTCAGTATGAACAAAAAACATAACAAGTTTGAAAAAAATTGCATTCCAAATTGTTTGTTATTAAATAATTTAATATAAGACATGATTCTGGAATCATTTACAAAAATATTATAAAACTCTAGGTACTTGAGGGCTTTTAAGATCTTGCTATATAACTAAACATTTGAAGAGTCCAACATTTTTATATAAATTAGTAGCTTTTTTTATTACCAAAAATTTACAAAATATAAATATGATACACGGCATAGATTATTTTATATTAAGCTACAAATAATTTATTTTATTAAATTTAAATATTACATTCTAAATTACAAATGTAATTATAAAAACTTATTATAAGTCTATTATTATTATCTTCTATTTTATCTTGTTTGAGCTATATAAATTTGTAACAAAATTATTGTAAAGTTAGTTAAGGAATATATTTTGCCAGTTGCTTCAAATTTTTAATTTTGCTTTCAAGGATTGGTAAGTTTGAAGTATAAACAAGAGTTTGTAGAGACAATGTAGGTATTGCGATTTTTTTTTCTGAATTTGAAATGGTATCATTATTCCATCTATAAACTCACTAGCTTCAATGATTCAGTCCTATACATATTCAAATTAATGATACTTAGAAATTGTAGATTTTTCAACTGTATTATGTTAGTACTTTGTTGCGACTAAAACATTCTATTTCAATTATATTTTTAATGTAAAATTGAAAAAATTATGTTTGATAATCAAAAATCTTATTTTTATCTACAAAAAACAAAATAAATTTATTGAGGTTTCTTGATGATTTTATTACAAGTTCTACATTTTCATCTAAAGATATAGTCAATCTACTCTGATAAGTTGCTTTTTTATTGTTGCAAAGTCTCGATCACATGATAAAAACGAATGTCCTCTTTGTACAAAAAACACTAACTTTTTTTATTTTTATCATTTCAATAAGAACCATAATCATCCTGAGTGAAGGGTAGTTTTTATTTTGCCCTGCACAATTATCACAAAATAAATACAATTCCTCAACATTATTACTAATAAAGTTATCGATGTAATGTACCAAAAAAGTGCATACATCATTTGGCATTTTTTTTGCTGTTGCTTCATGATAAACTTAACAAAATATATAATTTGTGTTTAAATTATGAATATCATTGGCGCGTCAAAATTAATGAAAATAAATCTCCCCGTGTAACTTTTACGCTTTGCAAAAAAAACAATCCTCCTGTTGTAATCAACAATACTCAAATTCCAATTATGACCAAAACAAAATACCTGGGACTAATTACGGATAAATGTTTCACATGGGCGCCCCACTCACATGAGAAAAGAATAATATTAAATCAGCACCTAAGGCTTCTTCTGCCATTACTTAACAACAAATCAAAAACTAATTTAAAACAAAACTTACTACATACAAAATTGTACGTAAACCAATTTGGTCGTATGGGATACAACTCTGGGGCTAAAAAATGTCTTGTTCATTTTTTGAATGCAGTTCTAAAAAATTTCATTGTATCTGCAAGCTATTCTGGTTGAATATCTTGTAGACATGCTTTTAAAAAAATGTAAATAATAATAAAAAAAAAGAATCAATATATTATTATGATATAGGCCTAGGTACAGTTAACATAACAAAATTAATAATACATAATGATGGCTTACCATGTAAAATGAATGGATGGTTTTCAAAACATTTTTTTAAACTTTTAATAATTGAATTTAGTTATCTTTGTTAGTGTACTGAAAACGTAAAAGTATTAGAATATAATATTCAAAAACGGAGCTAAAATTCATGGTCATAACTAGAAATTTGAGTCTACAACAGCTGAAGTCTTATTATTTTTTTTAAATTAATGTTGCACGAAGTTTAAGATGTGCAAAAAAAACGTCATTTGTTGTTTTTCGAATTTAATATAACTGTTCTTATTTGCAGGGCAGAGTACTTTAGTAATTTAATTTTTTTTGCATATACATAAAAATAGTCCATCAAGAAACAAATTGTTTCATACTACAACAAATTCAAATAGAAAGTTCTGTATTGAATAATTTTTAATACATGTTTGACATATTTTGTAGTTTTTAAATATTTTTTACATATTTCCTTCATTTCATTTTTTCATAAAAATATTTTATTAAAACATTTATTAATTAATATGTGTGAATAAGGTGTGCATATTTAGTTCTCTTTTAGAGCTTTAAGTCATTTACTTGTTTGCTTTTGTTATCGCAATTAAATCGACTAATCATGATACCAGTTCCAAATTAACTGTTAACAAATAACACACCATGTAAAATCCTTTTATTTTGTCGCTCTTTCAAGATCAAGTTTGTCATATATAACGTTGTTTGATATAAATTCTCAACTTGATAATATCTATTAAATTTTTATTTTAAATTATTTAAGGTATCTTAATTATATTTTAAACGCAATTTAAAAAAATAAACTTAATGAATTTTAAAGTTTATGTATAGTTTATTTATATTAATTGATATATTTTTATTAATTTATAAAATTTATAAACCCAACCAAGGTTTAGAAATCATGACTTCAAAAGGGTTAATTTTAGGTTTAAAAGGGCTAAATCCTCTAGTTACAAGCCAATACTAATAGTGTCAATATTTTTCGGATATTGAGCGCCCGAAATTTTTTTTCACAATAATACTAGTATTTTTTGTTCATTATTGTTTTAAGCTTATTTTAAAAACTATTGATAATAAAGGCTATATACATGCGATATCGTCATAAAAAACTAATTAGCTACCTGTATTTGTAATCCCTTATGTATTATACAAATATATTAATTAAAAAACCCAGCACAGGGGGGTCGCGGCACAGTTGTGACGTGGTATAGTTGGATCAAGTATAATGATATCTGACAGTGATTAAAATCACTATCAAAAATAAACGCTTCGATGCAAATCTTTAGATAGTG